GCGCTCGCCGCCCGCGTGCTGCAGCCAGTAGCCACGCTGGGTCTCCTGGCCGCTGTTTGCGCAGGGATTGTGGGATGCGGGGCCCCTGAGCGCCCGGTCTGATTACCGTCCCTTGCCCAGAGCCAAGCTTCAATAGCTGATCCCTAGTCCTGTGGCTTCCGTAGCTTCAAGGCGGAGACTGCAGTGTGCCGGATCCAGCACTCGACCCTGGACCTGACTACCAAGAAGGGAGCGAGGGTCCCTTTTGTCCTAACGCCCTCTCGGGCTTTATAAAAAGCGTACACGGCGGCCCGAGGAGAGAGAGTGCCTGTAGAAAATGCTCTTGGTGCGTCTGGTGGTGGAATTTCTTGCCGCTCCACAACACGTCGTTCCCACCTCAGCCTCCAGCACAGCCTCCAAATCGACTGCGCAAGAAACGGCGCGGCGCGAGTGTGCGGTCTGCTCGCGTCCTGGGCAGTGGCCGCAGAATGCGGCGGGTGGAGCTGCCCAGGATCAACTGGGGCCCGCCGGGCTGCGCCCTCTAAGAGGCCTGGAGCGCCGTCCGAACCCCCTTTCCAGAGCTGCTCCTGCCACCCGCGGCCTTACCTCCTGGCATCGGCCCACGTCCCCTGACACGCACCTACGCCTGCTGTTTACCTCCCTTTGCTCCAATATGCCGAGATTTTAGGGTGAAATCCTTAATGACTGCTTGGTGGTACCTAGCACGGCGCTGTGCATAGAACAGATTCTCAATAAATGTTCTTGGATTTCATTTGACGTCACATTTGGCGTGATTTTTACTGAAATTTCCGTTTTAGTTCTTCAAAACCCAGATAACTTCTACCTCTGGTTTTTGAAGTTTCTATCAAAGAATATTGTAGAATATATAGTTTAGTATAGATATCGCCATTTCTTATATATTGTCCACAGTAATACAGGAGGCACTGTTACTCTATGTTGGATACTTTTAAAACACAATTTTGTATGATAAAGCTGTTGGTTCCTGATTTCTGAGGTTTTTACATTTTAAAAATCTCTATTTAAAATCATCAAGTCAGACTTATCCTTTTCAGCTTCCAAGCGTAACCACAGTACAATTAAATATATGTAGGAAAAATATGTCTTAACTAGTTTGCTACAATAAATATTCCCACATTAAAGTTGTAATAAAATAACTTAGCTTTATGTTTCACAATGATAAAAGCAGGGGGAGTTTTCACACGTGAGTGTTTGTGGTTAGTCAGTTTTTCTCAGACACTTCTAGTCTGTTCTGCCATGACTCAGAGGCTTGTAAGGGGGCTTCCCCTCCTAAAAGCTGCAACTTACCTTGTCCCTTCTTGCTAATCCAACAGTATGAATTCAAAAGGAACCATACACTGGCTATACAGGCAGTCTCAGCAAAACATTTGCACTGGCAATGACAAATACTACTCAAAATGATATTATTGCCATTATTACTTAACCACAGATTAAAACTGCAGATGGAAAAGAATGGAAAAAATCTTTAGTTATCAAGAATATTCCTATATTACCATGCTTGTTGTGTCCTGAGAGAGAGAGAGAGAGAAACACACACACACATGTACACACAAACACAAGCGCACGCGTGCCTCTGAGGTATTTATTAAGAAGATAAGAGTGGTCATGTCAGAACAAGAAAAGTTAGATACTAGTATTCTCAAATTTGGCTTTCTAGCCTCCAGCACATTTTCATGTTATTTGCACTGTGAACTATGACTAAAGACTTAGTAAAAGTCCATCTTAAATGACTAGGCATTAATGTTATTTTTCAAATGCTACGTTTGGGAAATTCAGTTGGCATATGGGCACTTAAGAGTTTGCCAGCTTCCTGCCGGGCCTGCCGGTTAATGAGGTTGGGGAAAGGTCTTAGCATTCAGGGGAGGGTGGTCCTGGGCATGAACGGACTGAGAACATCGCCTCCCCCAGTAGATCGCAATGGAAGACGAAATCGCAGCGCTTGTCATTGACAATGGTCCCAGCATGTGCAAAGCAGGCTTTGCAGGGGCCAATGCTCCTGATCTGTGTTCCCCTTCATCGTTGGGTGTCCCTGGCACTAGGGCGTTATGATAGGCTTGGGTCAGAAGGACTCCTACGTGAACGATGAGGCCTAGAGCAAGCGAGGCATCCTGACTCTGAAGTAGCCTACTGAGCATGGCATCGTCACCAACTGGGACAATATGGAGACGATCTGGCACCACACAGTCTACAACGAACTGCAAGTGGCCCCCAAGGAACACCCGGTGCTGTTACTGAGGCTCCCCTGAACCCTAAGGCCAACAGAGAGAAGATGACCCAGATCATGTTTGAGACTTTTAACACCCTGGCCATGTATGTAGCCATCCAGGCTGTGCTCTTCCTGTATGCCTCTGGTCATACCACTGGTTTTGTCATGGCCTCTGGGGATGAGGCCACCCACACAACGCCCATCCACAAGGGCTACACCCTCCCCCATGCCATCCTGCATCTGGACCTGGCTGACTGGGATCTGACTGACTGCCTCATGAAGATCCTCACAGAGCACAGTTACCGCTTCACCACTACAACTGAGCACGACATCAAGGAGAAGCTGTGCTACGTTGCCCTGGACTTCGAGCAGGAGATGACCTCCGTTGCATCCTCTTCCTCCCTGGAGAAGAGCTATGAGCTGTCTGATGGCCAGGTGATCACCATCGGCAACAAGCGGTTCTGGTGTCCAGAGGCACTGTTCCGGCCCTCCTTCCTGGGCATGGAATCCTGTGGCATCCATGAGACCACCTTACTCCATCATGACGTGTGACGTAGACATCTGCAAGGACCTGTAAGCTAACACAGATTGTCTGGTGGCACCACCATATACCCGGGCATCGTTGACAGGATGCAGAAGGAGATCACTACCTTGGCGCCCAGCGCCATGGAGATCAAGATCATTGTTCCCCCTGAGCGCAGGTACTCCATGTAGATCGGTGGCTCCATCCTGGACTCCCTGTCCACCTTCCAGCAGATGTGTATCAGCAAGCAGGAGTATGAGTCGGGTCCCTCTATCATCCATCGCAGATGCTTCTAAACAGACTGCAAGCAGATGCGAAGCAATTCCTGCATGATTTAACTCATAAGTATAAATTTGCCCTGGCAAATGTATACACCTTATGCTAACCTCACAAAACTGGAATAAGCCTTTGAAAAGAAATTTGTCCTTGAAGCTTATATAATATCAGCACTGGATCATAGATCCTGTTGCTGATTTTTGACCTTGTATTCAAGTTAACTGTTCCCTTGGTATTTGTCTAATACCCTGTACATATCTTTGGTTTAAACCCTTAGTACATGCGGCTCAGTCACTCTGTGGCTGAGGTGAGAACATGCTTATGGAAGAGAAGTCCATGATCTGTAAATCTGCATGACCAAGAGTCTTGATTGCTGCAGGGTATTAATGTGTCAGAGCTGAATATTCTCTAGAGATTTCTCTAGAGATTGGCAAGAGCTGAACAAGGTGTCATTTCTGTCTTTCCAGCAGTCTAACAGAGTTGGAAAAGTCCCAGCCTTAGGACCCAGTTTCCTAACTGTTTTCCTGCCAGAACACCGTGGGTTGTTACTTGCCTTGAGTTGGAAACAGTTTGCATTTACACTTGTAAATTTATTCATCCTTTTAATTTATATAAGGTTTTTTATGCAATTCTTAATTCTTTAAGAGATGACAACAGATTTTGGTTTTCTACTGTTATGTGAGAACATTAGGGCCCAGCAACACGTCATTGTGTAAGGAAAAATAAAGTGCTGCAGTAAAAAAAAAAAAATTTATAAAAAAAAAAAAAAAGATTTTGCCAAAGACAAGCAATTTTTTTTTTTTTTGGCATGTACAGCATGTCCTTAAACTGCCACATGGGGGCCTTATTTGATAAGCCTTTTTCTCACTTATCCTAAGCAGTAAGTCCTGGATCTCTTTCTTCGTCTAGATTACTAATCAGGGTATTACTAATCAGTTATATTCAGTACAAAGCATAATACAGCTATAAAGCTCTACTTTCTGAACTTGTTTTTGGTACTTATTTCAATTATTCATTGTATTTATTCGAGCATTTTCTCAAAGGTTATTCAAAGTTTATTCACAATGAAAATTATGAAACAGTAGATGCCTAATTTAACTTATAGGAATTCTGTAGAACCAAATAGGCAGATCATATGCATTCACCATTTTCCCAACCTCCTCCTTCTCACCAAAAGATACAAAATTACAAGTGTAACATATAAAATGTCCTCAAATATAAAATGCTATAAACCAGAGAGATTACCTAACTATAATTTATTTCAGTCACAGAGGAGTAGACTTTCTAAGTATGCTACAAAGTCAGCAGTCATACAGAAGAGATTAGAAAAATTGGAGATACAAAAATTTTTAAATTTGCAAATTTAGTATCACCATAAGTGAAATCAAAGAAAAATGACAAAGTGAGAAAACATTTTTGAAACTCATAGACAAAAAGCTAATTTCCTTTATATAGAAAGTACTTTTGAAGATCAATAAGCACTGTTTCAGTGGAGCAATGAAGGTAAAAACCAAATAGAACTGAGTAAAAGAGCCTGTGGTAAGTGACAATCACAGTCTTTTAAAAAACTGTTACAGGGCTGGCTGCAGCATCTCAGTTGTAATTGCAGCACTTTGGGAGGCCAGGTGTTAGAGACCACCCAGGGCAACATAGTGAGACCCTATCTCTACTAAAAAAATTAAAAAATTGGCT